ATTAAGGTAATTCCGCAGTAATTGTTCCCGAAATGAGAATGTGCTGAAACTTCCCAGGCATGGAGTTTATGATATACTTAAAGTAAATCACACAAAAACGTCGGGGTCACCGAACTCGTTAAGAAGATATGACAATCACAATATACTACCTTTACACCAATATGGCGCCATCTTGACGCTCATTACGAGTAACAGCAAAATCACAACAGCCCGATATTTATTGACGGTTTTAGCGCATATTTTGCTTTAGTAAACCTATCTCGTAATTATTTTTTGAAAAATATTGTGTTTTGAGCAAAATGAAACTACTAACGAGTACAATTCTGATCTACAAATGTCTTTTCCACATTTCTTTACATATCTTTCTTTGAGAACATGCATTGATAAAGGATTTTTTTTCAAGATCCAGAAATGAGTTTCAGTTTAATTTCGGATATGAAATGTAAAATGCAGCCTAGTCCCAGGCTCTCTTTCTATTCGCTGCTTTGATATATTTAAATAAGTCTTAAAAGTTTTATGCCTGGGTGTGCTGTGCGGAACGCTTCAGCGAGAGAACCTAGCAGATTTCGGTAAAATGGTCCCTGATTTCAAAAAAGTGGTCCCTGGCCTGGTTACCAAGCATACCTCATTTGTAAATGGAAAATGTTATGGAAATTTCCTTTGCATTTATAATTAAGTCATCAGTTTTGCTCTAATGCTGTTGGAACAATGAAGTAGGCTACGTTTCGCGGCCATACGGTCAGAATGGAATAACGGGCTAAATATGACTCGTGTTTACTAAAATATATAGCCATATTAAATGCTATCTAGAAGCTTGAAAATTATGCCGATTCTCCGACTTAAGAATGTTTTGACAACACCGTCATGTCAGGCAAATATTTACAATCTCCTCAGCAATTTAAACCTGTCAAGTAGAAAGCGTAGTTGTGTATAACAGTATGGTCTAGTGTTGATCACAACTTTGCGAGTACATAAATAACATCAACGATTGCTCAAACTCGGTATCGTAAATACTTGCGAGTACATAAATAACATCAACGATTGCTCAAACTCGGTATCGTAAATTTGTATATATTTTTTTTTAGTTGAGCACATTTTTAATACAGTTTGATTTGGTTATGTAGACGAACATGTACATGATGATCGAACATGTACATGATGATCGAACATGTACATGATGAACGAACATTGTCGTATTTATAATTAAAAGGTTACTTGTATATATAAATTTTCCGCCATATTAAAAATACTGAAATCTGCTAGGCGTTCTGAAGCACCTTGAGCGGTGACGTCACACCTAGGTTCCAGTCTCGTACTACATCCACTTTTTTCTCGCGCTTGCTTCAGAACGACTGGGACTAGGCTGCTGTCCACAGTTGCTAATGTGAGCAGGACACACTGTCATAGTCCGTTCACGGCTCTTTACGCTGCTTTCAAACTACGACATGTAGTACGCATGCGTATTCGAGATATGACTTACTTTGTCACTTTTATAATATTTTGTGTGTCCCACATCCGCATCCTACTTTGTCGTCATATATATATATATATATATATATATATATATAGATATATATATATATATATATATATATATATATATATATATATATATATATATATATATATATATATATATATATATATATGTATGTATATATATATGTATATGTATATGTATATGTATATGTATATGTATATGTATATGTATATATATATATATATATATATATATATATATATATATATATATATTTATCACATACTTGTACCTTTATCAGGTAGGAAGCAGCGGGACATAAAAACGATATCGTCCCGGATATCGTTTTTTGTCCCGGATATCGTTTTTTGTCCCGGATATCGTTTTTTGTCCCGCTAAATTTCGCGCCTTGTCAAAACAAAGATGGCCGACTCGAGGTTCGTGTTCGTTGATGTCGACAATTTATCGAAGAAAACAAGAACGATAATACAAAATGAAAGACTTAAATTGTATATTATTTATATGAATGGTCTATTTATTTTCTAAAATCATATTTGTTCAGTAAATGATGAATTGTTTTGAATTCTAAAATGATCCTATTTTTTCAAAACTGTTTACTTTTGGATGTCAAACCCTGATAAAGGTACAAGTATATAATAAATAGGTTATCGTACTCGGGATTTGGTGATATCAGTTTTATCGCTCTCGGGACGATATCACAATTGTCCCTCGCTCGCTGCGCTCGCTCGTGACAATTTTGATATCATCCCTCGAGCGATAAAACTGATATCACCTCATCCCTTATATGATAACCTATATATATATATATATATATATATATATATATATATATATATATATATATATATATATATATATATATATATATATATATATATATATATATATATATATATATATATATATATATATATATATATATATATATTTGCTCGAAATTTCCATCTGCAAAAAACTCTTCAACTGTTAATAGTTCTGTCGAGCGAGATGCCCAAAATCTTGAGAGAGAATAGTTGCCCATTTGCGCCATGCAAGAAATATATTAAGTCCAGAATACCAGTCTATACCTGTTGAGTGACGTCATCAAACTGTCTGCCACCACGATTTTGATACAATTTATTTCCACCATCATCAAATGTACAGCCAGCAGTCGCACAGGTTGCTTTTTCGTCTTTGATTGCTGTAGAAAACCAATCCATTAGACCATCGTTATTCCAGTCCCCAATAGCATGACCCATTGCATCCTATATATAGACAATCAAGGTGATTTACCTCAAAAACTCTTTAAACGTTTGTAGGTAAAAACTGCAGTAGCTAAAATTTGGTAGCGTAAGAAAGTTGGTCAAAAAGCCGTCTTGACAGACAAGAGCCCCGATCAAACGAGGATGAGGGTGCACGAGAGTTGTCAGTCACATCACAACAGCTGTATCTATCGTTGTATCTGCAATACTAAATGAAAATATTGCAACTGTATGACGTCCTTCGTTCGTTGTTCTTAGATCAGTGCAATTTATATTTGTTCAAGTAGAAAATAATAGGCTCTCCCTTTATTTTCCAATGAAACAAAGCCATCATGTCATGAAAGCGCGAAAAGTCGTATTAAACCCAATCCGGCTTTATCGCCATGAACACCCAATGCCTAATAATGGTACAGGATTGCTCCAGTTTTCCCTCGTGAGTACTTAGGCTTGGTTTTAGACGGCGAACTTTTCATGCACCGAACTTGTCGTATATAGATACGGCAAAATTATATCGGAAACTGATTTAGACGTCGAACTTATTTGTACCGTACCAAATTGGGAGGACACTATATTATAAGTCTATAGAAAACGCTATATGATAATCCATGGCCTATCGAATGGAAGATGGCTGTGAAACTCATTAGAATAACAATATAACTCATCTATGTTGGTCAAGATTTATTCATAAATCTGGTCCTTCACCGTCACGTGTGTATTGTATTTTTGCCCAACTAACCAATAGCAATAGTGAGCTTAAGCAAGTGACGTTTTTGACAACACAGACGTCGACCGGAAGTAAAGTTGACGTTTTTCACCAATCACAGCCCTTGACCCAGTCTTCTGACGTTACTCATGCCGTTCGTGTTGTCAAAAACGTCACTTCGGCTTAAGCTCACTATTGTTTTAGGAAAGTCACCTATCCGTGACTCGAACAATATGGAAACTGGAAACATGTTATTGGTAGTTGGGCAAAAATACAATACTCACGTGACTGTAAAGGACCAGATTTATGAATAAACGATGACCAACATAGATAATGAGTTATATTGTTATTCTAATGAGTTTCACAGCCATCTTCCCTTCGATAGGCTATGGATAATCATATTATAATGTTAAAATATAATTATGCATTAGGTTCGGCGCAGGGTTGCCAGTTTGGCGTTAAAAGAGCCAAATTTCTCGATTTTGGCTTCTTTTGACTTCGTTTGGCTACTAAAAATTTCGTTTGGCTTCCTTCTATTTTTTGGCTCTTTTTGGCTTCTTTTTGAATAAATACTGAAATAAGCAACTTTTTAAAAAAATAGTCTGCCATCTATCAGTAAAAGTTAGTTATAAACTCTGCTATGTTTGATCACATTATCTGGGATTCCGGATGTACGTAAATATCCGATCGGAATTAGTACCCTTTCCCCGGGCTTACGCGGTTCGGCACTTCGCTTCGAACGGCGCAATCTAATTCCCCGAGCCTGCGATCCTCGGGAAGGAACGTGAGGCTCTGGGATAATCCGTTTCAAGGAGGAATCTGTTGGCAGTTGAAATGGAATGTGCAGGTCAATCTTAGCCAGGATTCCTGGCTTCCGGCAACGGATTATCCCAGAGCCTCACGTTCCTTCCCGAGGATCGCAGGCTCGGGGAATTAGATTGCAAACGGCGGGAAAACGAAAATGAATAAAATACTCGTTTTTTCTTTAATACTGTTTTTTTATCCGTAGTTGACGAAGTTGGAATTCTTAGTCACTATGTCAAATATAAAGGTATTAGCGATTGTTTTTATGGGTATATAATTCGTATAATTAGGTTAGCCACAGTCCCTACTCTAAATTTCGATCTTGGCTTCTTTTGGCCGGATTTGGCTACTTTTCACGTATCATTTGGCTCTTTCGGGCTCAGACTACCTGGCAACCCTGGTTCGGCGCATGAAAAGCACGGTGTCTAAATCAATGTCGAACCTAGCTGTGTCGCATAATAGGACTTCTCCTGTCGCATCTTCAGGTCGTGTCGAAACTTAATCAAAACCTGCCGAAGAAAAGTGCGCCGTCTAAACTGGGCCTATATAAGAAGCCACTGCCACTTTGTGCTGGCGCCCTTGACCTCTTCGGAAAGGTTACGGTTACGGATGTATGTCAAGTGTTCTGTTAATTAAATTAAGGCAGCGACAGGATATATTTTATAATGCAATCATAACTCGTTATGCAGCCTGTGCACAGGCGACTGTTCTGGAATTCAAGTTATGACTGAAGATCGCAAGGATGTTTCTACCTGTTCCCCACGTAACCCGCAATGTTCCGTACATTCCCAGAATGATTTGTTAGTTCCCATATTCCAGAACATACGACTTTCCCCAAAGTCAGCCGTCACCAGCAAGTCTGCTTTGCCGTCATTGTCAAAATCCTATAAACATATATAACAATAGCTAGGAATTTAACTCTACAATAAAGCCGCCTGGTTTCCATATGGTCGTAACGGTCGTAAAGATTGGATCACAATCTTTCTCGTCAGCCGAAATACAACATTTTGGAACTGAAAATACGCGGAGTGATTATAACTAGAAAATAAAATAATACGATTTATATGTGGTTTACAGGTATTTAAACTATTACAAACTGGCAGTTGAGAAAGATCGTGATTCTATTTTTGGGACCGTTACGACCATATGGATCGTAGAAACCAGGCTTAAATGGTCAAAATCTTTCCAGAAATATAATTTATCGAAGCGCAAGCACTAGATATATTAGCTAAATTCATATTAGAAGACGGATTTCCGTCTGAGACGGGAAACTCGTCTAAGACGAGAAACTCGTCCAGATATAAATCCGTCCGATGGTTTTCGTTTCATATTCATACCAGACGGAAATCCGTCACACGAGTTTCCCGTCTAAGACAGAAATCCGTCTTCTAATATGAATTCAGCTATTCCTACATGCGACTGCGGCAAGATTGAATATCGTAGGAATACAAAACTCGAACGATCTGTGGCAGGGTAGGTAGCACCAAAAACACCAGAAAATTGAAGGGGAAGATTCAGGCATTTAAATCCCTATCCATCTCAATTTTCTGGTATAGTTGGAATCACCTGTCTGCCAGCACAATAACTTAAAATATATCAAACGACAAACGTATTAATACGAAAATTTGCCCAAGGACAAATTGATTACATTTTGGTTACATTTGGATGCAAATTGGATGAGAAATTAGCAAATGTTTGTCTTGCTTTGCTGGGCAGAGTAAACTGAATGCGTAATTTGCTCATTGCATAATTTATGCATAATTTATGCATAATTTATGCATGATACATAACTTAATTATCTGGCAAAGTAACTAGCGACTTAGTATGGAATGAAGGTGGTGTGCCGTGCGGCACATGTGCCGTGCGCAACGTTGCTCCTGCTAATGTATTTACTAGAATTCTGGTGCACATTTTAACAAATGTGCGGTGCACAAAAAAGTGTCATTCCATGCAGGCGGACTTACAGTGAACGATGAAGCAAATGAATATGTTCCTGAGCTTAAGTCATATTTTTCAAAGTTAAATTTGTCCATATCTACGCCATATCTCTCCGTCACGTCTTCAAAATATCTGACAAAAAACAAAACCCAAATTTGTTTGAATTGTATTGACCTCAATTATATTGAGTCACACCATGGTCCCATGGATAATAAAATAAATGGATAGGACTCTAGCTGACGTAAGCAAAAACAACCTAGTTGCAATCTGTGACGTCACGCGTATTGCAAAGTTCTCGGCATTTTTGTTGTTTCGCTATACTTTCCTAGTTTTTATACTTTCCTACTATAATTTATTTCATTATCCATGGTCACACATATCTGCCACGCTAAAATTTCACAATTTCTTACCCAGGTGAAAGGGAACCTTTGTTTCGTAGCAGACGCGAAGCTGACGGCTAGAGTTTAGAGTTTAGAAAGAAAAACACATTCAGGTAAAAAAATCTATTAGTGAAATTTTACTTGGGGCCTGTTTAGAGACGTTCTATGAATCTTATCCATTTAATTGGTAGACCTGAAGACCCTGTGGTGCTTCGTTGAGAAACTTCCATTCCAATATTGCCATGAATATGTTTGCAAACTGATAGGAGCTTTATTATACGAATTATCTCGGTTAACCGGGCCATGCAGCTGCAGTCTCCATATGAACAGCCTCTTAGGCGGAATACCAGAATTTGTTGCAAGGGTCCCGCCTAGCTGGGACGAGAAATTCCCATACAAACACTCTATCGGGATAAATCCCTTTTCTTTAAAAAAAATGTCGTTAAACTCTATAAAAACACTCTGGTTACAATTTTCCGGGTCAACCTCGAAATATCCATATTTGGGTTAAATTAATTTTCCTGGTAAAACCATACCAACCACGCACAGTACTTCTACCTTGGTATAACCATATGACCACCTTACCTTTCCTAAAGTGTGTGGTATCCATTCTGTAACATACAAATCAGGGTAACCATCATTATCAAAATCACCAAAGTTTGCCGACATGCCAGCAAGCTTTCGTAAGCTAGGAAACTGTAATGAGCAATTCCTTGTCAAAGCTTCTTCCTTAAACCATCCGCCATAGTTGATATAAAGATAATGACGCGTCTCGCCAACCGTTGTTACGTAAAGGTCAAGGTCGCCATCTTGGTCCACATCTGCCCAGCCAGCGCCATTACCATAACTTGCTGGACCTATCCTTGACTCAGTCGTGACATCCGTGAACGTATTATCACCTACAGTAAAAATGTAGCATTGCATATTATGGAGAAGATACAGAGTCACTCAACGCGTCAATCAATGGTGTCCTGGGGGGGGGGACGTTTCCACCTCACTTTTTGGACATTCGTAATATAATCTATAATAAATTACGTCCATTGGTCGACTTCGTCCCCCCCCCCATTTTTTGGAATTGATTGTGGCTTTTGACCTCAATTTATAGAGCTATACAGGGTGTATCAAAAAAAACTGAACAGATTTGAAATTGCTCTCAATTTCGCAAAGCACCTATTTGTATCCGGTTTTTTATATACATAGCTTCTTTCGGTACTTATAATGTAGAATAATGAAAAAATTTTCTCACACTCAAATTTTGTGAACCAGGGGGGTGTGTCTTTTCCAACAAACTGAAAACGGCTCGCGCACAAAATTTAAAGGTTGTAATCATATTTTGAATTAATAGATGGAAAATTTGTCGGGCTTTTAATTACTGTACAAAATTTCAGACAATTTGGTTTAGTTTAAGCCCTTTAACTATTCACGCAAAGTTACATTTTTCCTAAAAATTATCTATTTGCATGCTTAATTAATGCATTTGCCTAATTTGCATATGTCAGCAATATGCAAATTAGGTAAAGGCATTAATTAAGCATGCGAAAGACTGATTTTTTAGAATAAAATGAATAGTTAAATGGCTTAAGCTAAACCAAATTGTCTGAAATTTTGTACAGTAATTAAAAACCCAACAAATTTTCCACCTATTTACTCAAAATATGATTACAACTTTTAAATTTTGTGCGCGAGCCATTTTTAGTTTGTTGGACAAGACACACCCCCCTGGTTCACAAAATTTGAGTTCGAGAAATTTTTTTCATTATTCTACATTATAAGTACCCAAAGAAGCTATATATATAAAAAACCGGATACGAATAGGTGTTTTGCGAAATTGAGAGCAATTTCAGATCTGTTCAGTTTTTTTTGATACACCCTGTATATGGTCTTATCGCCGTTCGCGTCAATACAGTTCAACTATCGTAAAATTGTTTGAAAACTGGAACGATATAAAATCACTGTTATGGACGGACCTCACCGAATCGATAAAAAGAAACTTTAATTTATAAATACTAAAGTCTAATCTGGGTTAGACTACCAATCAAATGACAGATTTAGTAAAGCTTGTGGAATCATTATCCGGTGGATATAGAGACTATCACCGTATCACCAGCTGCAATCTGCAACGCAATTATTGATATATAGTCAGATCTAAAAAGTACTCGCAAAAAATTCTGAGCGTGCGTGGCCCAGTGTTTATTCGGCCGAAAATTTTCATTGTTTTTTTCTTCCATTTTTCATCTCTAAAGGCCGGTCCCGCTGCGATTTCTAGTGCGATTTTCCTCTTCTGATGGATGTGAATGAGTAAATGAGTTATGAATGATCTGAGTATACATATGTACCCTCATCTGAACATTCATAACCCATTCGCTCGTTCACATCCATCAGAAGAAAATCGCACCTAAAAAGTGTAAACGGGCCTTAAAGCGGACGTCTTAGGAGTCAGTAAAGAGTACGTAATGTAAAGAAATTGACCGCAGTCGAGTAGTGGATTACGATCGAGCAATGCTCGCATTTCCCTTACTACTATAATTTTAGATAAGTGTTAGCTTTGTATCCAACAATGCATTGTAAGTTGAAGTCAAAATTGCCACATATAAAGGCCCGTTTTCACTTGCAATTCTTGCTGAGATCTCTAGTGCGATTTTCTTCTTCTGACACATGCGAACGAGTAGATGAGTTATGAATCTTCTGACCCTTCTATGAATGTGATATCCCCCCATCTGAACATTCATAACTCATCCACTCATTCACATGCATCAGAAGACGAAAATTGAACTAGAAATTGCAAGTGTAAACTAGCCTGCGAATAGGCTCTTAAGCTGAATTGAGAGCCTGCATCGATGACTAATGAATTTGAATATCTGCCCCCAGAGATCTGCCCCGTAACGTTCGCTTTTCCAAATATGGAATGTTTATTCTTATATGGTGTTGTTTACAACTTTCGTGCAAACTAAATTTAGACCGTGCAGACTAAATTTAGACCGTACAGTTTATACTGTTTTTCGAAATATAAGATATTCAAGCATAAGTTTAAATGTTTTAAATACTGTTTTCTCAAAACAGAACATTTCGTGCTTTGAGATAAGACGGCCAAGACCAATTTGATCAGTTAATGTGTTTTTTATGCAATATAGAGCTCAGCGGAAACATATAAATTATAGCATCTGACCAATGAGAATTTCGCGTCACGATTTGAGACGCAGATATTCAAATTCATTAGTCATCGATGCAGGCTCGCAATTCAGCTTGAGAGCCTGAGAGCCTGTTCGCAGGCTAAGTGTAAACGGGCCTTAACATGGCCATAACTTGAACTAACCATTATTTCTGTATAATAAACTTCTACTGTGAAAAACAGTAAAGTAGATATCATCAAGTCCATCATTATCATAGTCGCCAACCGCTGCCCCACCAGTGAGGTGTTCGGGGACGCAGAACTCGCCCTGAAGTTTTGTTGTCCTAGATGAGTTTAATCTTGGAATGATGAAGTCCAGAGTGCACTGCGGTCGGGTGGCCATTGCATTTCTGTGTACGTGATGTATGCCAAGTTTCTAGAAGGAATTTGCTATCAGTAATTAGATTGTATTTGGCAATCAATCGCAATTTGACTTTGGTGTTACCATAGATTGTAAAATAACTTATTTTATTATTTTATTTTATTATCCATGCGGTTACACTGTTAACAATTTAAAGTGTCGGAGACTGGGGTTGATTACGTATTGATTTAATAATATAGTGCAGAATAATTAGGAAAAATAATGCAATTAAGGTGAGAATGAACTGAACGTGATGTAATCTAAAATATATATAATGGCGTGGGACTCGACAGAAGTGGAGGAGAGTGAGACAGTGACTCAAGTGATGAGAATGTGATTTGTGACTATAATTAATATTTATAAATAAATGGTAAAAAAGTGACTTTTAGTGGACTACAATTCTTGGGAGGCAGGAAATTCACTAAAAAAGTTTATTTAGCTGTCGCGTACGTTCACACGTGAAATATGTCACTTTGTGGACACAGATGCCGTTTTCATTATTTAAACTCAAAGACTCGTCAGCGTATTCATTTATCAACGTTGCGACAACAAGTTTCTCAGTAAAACCGGTTTCACGCATAATCCTTTTCCGCTTTCCACTCATGATCAAAGAACCTTTTTAGCACTGAATAAACCACATGCATACTTTAGTCTTATTAATTTAATTAACCGAACGTCGGTTGGCCGTTTTAAAACGATAACAATTTCTTTATTTGCTGTAGCCTGTAGGGACAGGTTGGAACAAGTCTGTTGAGACGTCATTTATAATGTTATGCGGAATAATGCGGAATTATTGTTACGTGATATGCCTTTGGACTTGAGCTAAAACTGACTAGACTACATCGTCATCGGACGAAGCTGTACGTATTGTAATCAATGTGCATGGTCAGATTATTTAAACCATATAATATATTATTGAACCATTACTGAGCTTGTATCACGATAAATTATCAAAAGCTGTTTCGGCGTTGTTCACAACATTGAACTGTGGGGAAAGGGGGTTGACAAAGTCTGTTTCGTCAACTTGTGCATTAACTTTGCAATACTGATTTGCTGGAACGGCTTCACAAGTTATGACCAAGATTGTAGCTCTACTGTTTACTAACTGAGCTACAGCCTACACAGTCAGGTCCGATTGAGGACTGGAAATAATGACTTATATATCTTCCTAGATTATATATGCATTGTTGTATTTCCAAAAATTTTAACGTAGTTATAGCTACCTTGGCTATTTCCTTAAATGTAATTCCAGCTGTAGACGCATTCACAAGACGTTCGAAAGTTCTCGTCTTGTTATTCCCTTCATCTTCCTGTTCACGGATTATACAAGAACGTTGATTGGGCGCAAAAATCCGCGTATTTCGTAAAAGTTCCATGTTTGCTAAGTTTGCATCGTACGCAGCTGACCCGTTGGGCCATTGCAGACTGTAAATCTTTTGCGTGACCCGGCCAGAACGATGAATTTCGAATCGATTTTCTGTATTCGATATCGTCACAGATGGTTGAGTCTCAGCGGCGGCTATGTAACACAACATTAGTATTAAAGACAGCAATTTCAATTTCCTGGTATCCATGAATGTTCAGTGATAGCGTCAATATGACACAAAAGTCAATTTACTCTGCTCATATTATTGTCGTCAAGGATAATGAATTCGTACCTTTAATATTTACACGTCTGGGTCATCGTGGCACCCAAAGTATAAATTTTCATTTATCGATAACTTTAGTAATTTTCTCATATGAGACGACAGGATGTCGTTACTTTGAGATAGCAGTCATGAATATGGTAGCTATTATAATTTTTTTATTTTTGGTCAATTATAATGCAAATTAGACGTCTTTTACTTAGTCTTTGTTTAGCATTCGATGGAAATTTGAAATTCGACACCAAGTACCTGACTCCACAGTAATAATTCTTGACTTCTCAATAAGTAATATACATATACACTGCATTTAACTGCATGAAACTCTGAGTAGAAATAAGCACTAGTGGAGAGTGAGATACTGATAAATACACAGTGACATATTTTCCATATCTTCACTAGTGAAGATATCGATCACGTGACTATTAGTATTTATACAAGTTTTTGCTTGGGACTATACAGGGTGTATAAAAAAAAACTGAACAGATTTGAAATTGCTCTCAATTTCGCAAAACACCTATTTGTATCCGGTTTTTATATATATAGCTTCTTTGGGTACTTATAATGTAGAATAATGAAAAAAATTTCTTGAACTCAAATTTTGTGAACCAGGGGGGTGTGTCTTTTCCAACAAACTAAAAATGGCTCGCGCACAAATTTTAAAAGTTGTAATCATATTTTGAGTTAATAGATGGAAAATTTGTCGGGTTTTTAATTACTGTACAAAATTTCAGAAAATTTGGTTTGGTTTAAGCCCTTTAACTATTCACGCAAAGTTACATTTTTCCTAAAAATCAGCTTTTCGCATGCTTAATTAATGCATTTGCCTAATTTGCATATGTCAGCAATATGCAAATTAGGTAAAGGCATTAATTAAGCATGCGAAAAGCTGATTTTTTAGAATAAAATAAATAGTTAAAGGGCTTAAACTAAACCAAATTGTCTGCAATTTTGTACAGTAATTAAAAACCCGACAAAGTTTCCATCTATAAACTCAAAATATGATTACATCGTTTAAATTTTGTGCGCGAGCCATTTTTATTTTGTTGGAAAAGACACACCCACACCCCCCTGTTCCACAAAATTTGAGTTTGAGAATTTCTTTCATTATTCTACATTATAAGTACCCAAAGAAGCTATATATATAAAAAACCGGATACAAATAGGTGTTTTGCGAAATTGAGAGCAATTTCAAATCTGTTCAGTTTTTTTTTTATACACCCTGTATAATAAACAGAACATTACACGGTGGCTTGAAGATATGATTTCATATTTACACTGCATATCAATATTCGGTAATTTGTAACTGTCCTGAAAACCTAAGGACAAACGAAATCAAACAGCAGGCCCTTGCTAACTAAAATCATTAATACTATATATATATATATATATATATATATATATATATATATATATATATATATATATATATATATATATATATATATATATATATATATATATATATATATATATATATATATATATATATATATATATATATATATATATATATATATATATATATATATATATATATATATATATATATATATATATATATATATATATATATATATATATATATATATATATATATATTATAATATATATATTATAATATATATATTACAATATATATATTATAATATATATATTATAATATATATATTATGTACTATTTAAAACACGAGTATATTATAATATATATATTATGTACTATTTAAAACACGAGTAGGAGTGTTTTAGCAGATATAAAACGGGAGGCGCAGCCGAGCGTTTTAGATATAATGATAAAACGCGAGTTCGAGTGTTTTAACTAGCTTAAAATACGACTACAAAAGAATACTAATTAGGATGAACAATTATATAATCATACTAATTAGGATGAACAATTATATAAAGAATACTAACGAAGATGACTTTTATTAGATATAAAGTCACTCCATATGCACGTGACATACTTTAGACTAACATAATTTGCCATAAGGTTTATGCATTTTTAATGAGTATTTTAAATATAGTATATTGATTAACTTTCGTGATAAATCTTATTTCATTGTTTACATTGTTCAGAATTATTTTACTAACTTTTCAAACATCACTTTCAGCTGGATTGATTAAACGGCATTTTACTACATTATATAGCTTGGAAATTATCTTTGTGATCTTTTACTGTAATAAAAGCATTACGCTTAACCATGCATCGTCACTCTCAACACGATTACCAATCGGCTCAAGTTTCCCCAGCCCTCTTACTGGCACCTCCAGTGTCCCCAAGAACTACCTGCAGTAGGTGGTCAACCAGCAATTATGTATCAAAGTGAGAAAATGATGTTAAGTTGTTACCATTTCTGAATTTGACCATCATCTGCATGCCCGTAACTAGCTATGAGTCAACTGAGTCAGTTGACTCGGTAGGCCAGAATTTGGGGACTGGAATTTAAACATCGCCAGAAACCTAAACCATGACTGAAATCCAGATTTGCTCGTGGAAGAAGGTATGAAATGGCATTTTAGGACGAAATTCAAGTTTAGTTCAGTTTCCAAGCAAAGATACTCCAAAGAGACCTCTTGCTCTTCAGTGACACTGAGAAGACGATTCCAAGTACCACAATACACGTAATACAGTACTGTAGAATTTGAAGTGTGGTGAATGACAATACTATACCACATACATTTTCATTACCGCATTATCAAACCATGTTGCCTCATCGGGACTGGATTACTTTTGGAGACTGTAAAATTGCAGTAATTGTGTCATTGTTTATAAAGTTAATTTCTTATTGGAACACTCCTCAAAATGCTGAAATCCAAAATTTTCCGGGGAGCATCCTCCCAGACCCCTCTAGAGGCTCGCACCTTCGAAACGCGCAATAGGCGTACTAAGAGGCCTAGGGACTAGGCTGCGCACCTTCGGTGGTCAACTCGGTCGTCTCAGAGTCTTAGTTACGGCCTGATCTGCTGCCCTGTGACGTATACTTATTAGTTAAACCATTGAAAAGAAAGTTAGTTATTATGTACGTATTAATATTCAAAGCACCAACAGCAATCCAGTTTTATCAGATTTATACCTGAGGCGATACCCAAGTGTTTTAATAATATGAAACATTTACTGTGAGTGTTTTGAATTATGAATAGCTTCAGAAACGATGTATTTGACATAGTAATTTTGAAAATCAACATTGTCTAACAGGAGAAATTCAAAGATGAAGTTTATGTAAATCTGATTTCCTTTTGTTTTTTCCCTCATCAATTATTAAGATTTTTGAAAGTTATATTACTAGAATTGCAGTCCCCCTTTTTTAATCTGGAAAAATCTCAGGTCCCCCCCCCCTCGCATAAATATAAATGAACGGTCCCTTATTAGCTGGCTTCACTTTTTGAGTTTTTGCACTCGGGTTCTCGCTCCAGATATCAAAGGAAATTTGGAGTCAAATAATTGTCAAATAAAAGAAAACTGTGAAGGAAAACATACCTTAACAAAATGGAAGCATGCTTGCAAAGAATCGGAATGCATCATGCGGGGTTGACTACCTCACGGGCGTTCTTTGAGGGTGACGTCAATACAATTGGAAAGCGGTTTTCCACTATAATCTCGTAATATCTTCGTAAAATCTTCGTAACATGTTCGTATAAATTAATTATTCATTGTATTAAAGTTTTAATTATTCATAAAAGCGCGGGAAACATTAAAATATGGCGCCGAATTTAAAATAAACAATGCCGGTTCTTTGATGTTAACGAGACATGGCATGCAGCGATTTTGAGAGTATTTGCCAAAGAGAAATAGAATTTTTAAGGAGTACTTTAGCAGATTTTCGAATAGAGGGCTCTTACTGTTACGGACATACTGGCGATAATTATGAAAATATCATTGAACAATTCTTGGCACTGAGCTCGACATGTTTCGTGAAGAAAGATTCACATTTCCGACCAAAGGGACACAAGCGATTTTCCGAATCAGGTAATCTATATCATATTGTTATTGATCTCCGTTACCCAGGCCCTTTCAGAGGGGGCGGGGGGGCAAAGGGGGACCCCAAATTTGCAAATAAAAACAAAAATAATTTCGAACGTTTTTTGGTAAAAATAATGGTATAAGAAAAAATTTTCTAAACCAAAAATTTACATATATTGATCTAAAAAAAGGGTTTAACCCATGTTGTAACAGAAATTTGTCCGGAAAATGTTTTTGAATTTTAGTTAAACTGATGTACGTTCAAGCAGAAAATTTTTTGACCCTTTTTTTAATGTCCGGAACCCCCAACAACAACACATTCTTGGGAAAAATAGGGCCCCCGAAAAAAACTTTGCCCCGGAATTTCTCTGATAGGCCCTGCCGTTACCACAAGGAGTCTTGGAGATTCCATTATCCTTACAGTCATGCAAAACAATGTATATTTGAGGATCTACAGCAAAATAATGCATTCGTGACGGAACACAACGTAGTACCTGAGAATGTCCTGACTGAAATTTTCCAGGATGAAGATATTCTTTACAACTTAAAACATATGTCAAATGTGTACTGGTAAATGTGTACGCCACAAAGCTTTTCGCGCAGTTTATATTTTGCGCACCGCTAAAATTTCGCGCACTCGGCGCTGTTCGAATTCTAGTACTGCGCAAATTTTAATGCAAGTAAGGCAGTAATTTTTCAGCTTTGCAAAGAGTGAAAAAAAACCCACAACATATATAAAAGCATACACGCATTGAAAGGTTTTTATATTATTTTATTTATCCCTTATGAACTGTTCTTTTCCCAGCCTTTCCAATGTTTGAACACAAGAGTGGAAAAGTACCCATTGCAATGTTTGGTAAACCGTTTATAATAATTGGAACAGAAATGAGGCACTGTTTACATGGTTCAGAAAAGGTACAGTATAGACCTTAATGATTTGATGCGGTCAAGTCCGTGATGTAAACAAACGCTTTGTTTGCATTTTGAATTGCTACATTTTTAAAATATGATATACTAACTGAATTTCTAACACTTTTCTGGTTTGCTATGCTTGCAAATGAATATAAACTAGAGTTTTAATTCAAAAAAGTTCGAAAGATTCGAAATATCATTAACATTTCAATGCGCCGCGAGTATGCGCAGAACGGACTTGACCGCATCTTTAATAAATGGAAAAATTATTACTATGGTACAAAGTTTGCTATCTCTACCAGTAGCACATGCAATTCGGATGTTGTTAAAGTTACAGCTAAAGTATACATTTTTGTCGATCTAAATAGGATGCGAGAGGAGGTTGGATACAAAAACCCATCGATGACCACAACTATGGGAGAAACCGAAGAGTCAAACTGCAAGGAACGCGTAAACTGAACTGCCCAGCTGCGATTCAAATAAGGCATGTTGAGATATTTGACGAATTCGAACTGCCAGGCAATTTGTCCACACCCAATAGCATCCGAACGGCTAAAGAAAAGAAAATGACAGATCTGAAGCAAAAGTTGGGATCAGGTGAGAAACTGAAAACGTCCACGCGACATTACCTAAAAATTCCGTTGTGCAAGGAGCATGCTGGGCATCCCGTTGGTGAAAATGCGTCTGTCAACCAAGCAATCGACAAAAAGATAATCGAACGTATTTACGAACTGGCAAAGAAAAACGTCACTGGCGTTAAAGAGGTAAAACGATGTCTGGATGAATTCGTCGTTAAAGAGCTATTCTCAGGGGCTCCGAAACACACATGGCCGAAAAAAACGAATCGAAGATACTATCCGTCCAGCAAGGATCTGCGCAATCATATTGCAAAAGCTGTTGCAGCCGAGAAGTACTGCAACGACGACCAAGAGTCCCTCCTGCGGAAAATCACAGATTGGAAACAATCCCGGCCCGGCGCAAAATTCTTCCTCCGAACCCAGGGAGGCGAACCCAACTTCTTTGGTGACGCCGCCGTTCCCACGAACAGAAGCGAAAATTTTCTCTTCGTGCACCAAGAAGAATGGCAACGCAGACTTCTGCTGAGGTATGGAAGCGTGCTTGCCCTACTTGACGCAACGTACAAGACAACCAAATACGCCATGCCGCTATTCTTCTTATGCGTAAACACCAACGTTGGGTATAAAGTGGTTGCGGAGTTTATGTGTCAGCACGAGGATGAAATCTCTATTGCAGAAGCCTTGGGAATATTGCGAGGGCGGAACCTAGAGTGGAACCCAAAGTACTTTATGGTCGACTTTTCAGCGGCCGAAATAGGAGCGATAGAAAAGTGCTTTCCTGGTGTTGTTGCCTATATCTGTGACTTTCACCGTCAACAGGCGATCCAACGCTGGGCCAGGGCCGGCAAGAATGGATTAGATCACGACGAGCAGCAGTTTTTCCAGTCAGCTATGACGAGAATTGGTAGTGCGCCAACCGAAAAGCAATACGAAGGCGAGTTATTGTCACTACGCCAATCCACTCTGTACAAAACCAACGCAAATGTGAGAAGTTACGTGGAAACAACGTGGATCCCATGTTATTTTCGCTGGTGTCAAGCATTTCGCAAGTCACAAGCGTTAAATATAGTCAACACCAACAATGGAGTGGAATCGATGAATAGGCTGTTCAAGTATGACTATCTTCCACGATCCATTGACAAATCTTTGTATGGCATTGTCGTGATGATTGTTTGTTCTTTCCTACCCGACACCTACCAAAACTATCTAAGCGCTAATTTAAGATTAAGTGGCTCGTACAGAAAGTACAATTCCATGGTTCCAGACTATTTAAAAGACCGGCCACCTAATTTTGTTAAACACTGTCTGAAGAATAAGTTTGCCGCGCAAGAGATCGAGGAAAAAGACATAACCTGTTCAAACCATGAACAAGGCAGGTTTCTGGTCAAAAGCTCGAGAGTAAAAAATGTAAGCTACCAAGTGCAATTCCACGTTCCTAGTTGTACATGCGAATCTTGGAGGCGATCCACCTTCCCATGTAAGCATTTTTTCGCGATCTTTAATTTCTTCCCCAAGTGGCAGTTTACCAATTTACCCGTGTCATATCGAGAGAGCGTATTCATCACACTCGATAACGATGACTTGCTAATGAATCGGCAGGCAAACAGCGTCCACACACAGTCGGTCAACTCTAGCACAGCCATAGAAGAGCCACCTTCTCCTAATGAAAGTCCACCATTTGATCAAGAAACATCATATTCAACACCAACAAAAGTTCCCATTCCATCGGAACAACCCGATAGTGTTGTAAAACTGAAGAAACGGTTTCATGAACAGTTATCCGGACTAAAGGATGTGTCGTTTCTGGTCGAAGATACAGAGGTTCTCCAAGAGGCAATAACCACTCTCGAGATCTTGCAAGGAAAACTTCGTGCTACTTGTCCACGAGCTGAAGGCCTTTTTCTTAGAGGTAGTCCTAAAAAGAAAAAATTAAAGATTACGTCAACGGATTACCATAAAGTGTTTCACAAGAGTCTTTCTCTCAGGAAAAAACGTACCAAGAAGGTTACACAAGAAAATTGCGTCATCAAAGCAGATAAAAAGGTAAGAAAAAGATGGAGTAATAGGCAAGCATGCGGTTTTACTACCTATACGGTACAAATAATATACGGTACAAATAATATACGGATAAACAATAAACACTTTTAGCTTTTACGGTGGAAATTTATGGCAAATAGTATGAATATTTTGATTATTATTTATTCTATCATTTTCATTCAGCTTATTCTTTTGAAGGAGCCACCCGCTGTAGAAGAGCATCGTTTCATCGATCTCACTCTGGATGTCTCGGATGAAGAAAGTAAGAAAACTGACACGAAGACGCCAAACAATGATAGGTAGATATATATATATATATATATATATATATATATATATATATATATATATATATATATATATATATATATATATATATATATATATATATATATATATATATATATATATATATATATATATATATATATATATATATATATATTATATTATATATATATATATATATATATATATATATATATATATATATATATATATATATATATATATATATATATATATATATATATATATATATATATATATATACGAATGTGGTTTAGTTCACAATATGCCAAAAGGTGCCCGATATCATATAAATAGAGCAGAAATAATCGTCTTACCTCAAAAGGTTGCCACAACAGTCTGTTTCATCCAAGAGAAATCATCAGGTGACTCAGACTGGATGAAGCAGACTGTTGTGGCAACCTTTTATATAATAAGATTATATAATACCGGATGTCCCAAAGTACTCCTGTTTGATTCGTAATAACTTCTAAAGAAATAAAGCTTTAAAAGAGAAATAACTTGCATCAAATAGAGGAAGGACTAACTTAGATTTTGATATATTACAGTTGTATTTCACTTAAAAATTCACGGAGATATTAATCTTTAAAATCGGGAGCATATTTCTGGATGTGTCTGAAATATGCAAAAAACGGCGTATCAAATATTAATCAAGATTTGCCCGACTGAAACATGCACTATTACCAGTAAATAAATGACACTTGACAAATTGTTTATTATGAAACAAAGTATTATTATATCTACAAAATGCAAGCAAGATTCATTCGTCCGAAATTCGCGGGTGTTCCTAGCACGAATACGTTTCCTTATTTCATGAGACCACTGCATCGCGAAGGATCGTCATTGGATCGTTCGTAGTTCTGAATTAGGGCATGCTGTCACAACGGAAATGTGAAGCTCTTCTAACTTCTGCAACGTTCTGAAATCTTGTTAAGAACACCCAAACTCTTTTGCCGTTTCTTAATCTTGGCAAGTTCATGGAGTAAACTGAGAATTATATGAAACACAATCAAACCATACAACTCCATAAGACATAACAATTAAGCAACTCCCCAGAGACATGCAACATTTTTGGAACAAAACGTAACAAAATAGTAGCGTTGATACGGTGATGTGTATTTGCAAAAAGCAATATTATTTCCTTCAATAAAGAATATTCATCCTGCTCTAACCGAGAAATAATCTACTCAGTCTGTTTGAACCCATTAAAAACATAAAAAAATTAGGCTATTTAAGAATACGAAAACTTTAAGCGCCTGCCTTCCATGGTCAGTCTTTCATGTACATTTAAGTTTGCAAAGACCTAATATTAAATACTTGCATAATTTCGAACGTTCATATTTCAGGAAACAAGGAGCTAAGACTTACATGTAAGATGTCTAAATCTACGCCATATCCCTTACAAACCTTAACGATAATTCGCTGAAATACAAGTTAGCCTAATATGTCATTAAGCAAACAAACGCTGGAGTTAATATTTGATATGCCGATTTTCGCTAATTTTAGACACATTCCAAAATATGCTCCCATTTTTAACATTAATATATCCGTGAATTTTTAAGTTAAATACAACTGTAATATATCAAAATCTAAGTTAGTCTTTCCTCTATTTAATGCAAGTTATTTCTCTTTAAAAACTTTACTTGTTTAGAACTTATTACGAATCAAACAGGAGTACTTTTTTTTGGGCCACCCGGTATTAGTGGTAACACGTATGGTAACGCGTGGTAACGCGTGGTAACGCGTTGTTAAAATTTGAATTTGGAGCGAAAACAGGTAGC